TTAATTAATTACTGCACGACACCCAGCCCTAGTATTCCACCTTAATCAATTACTCCACGACACCCAACCCTAGTATTCCACCTTAATTAATTACTGCACTACACCCAGCCCTAGTATTCCACCTTAATTAATTACTGCACGACACCCGACCTCTGTATTACACCTTAATTAATTACTGCACGACACCCGACCCTAGTATTCCACATTTATTAATTACTGCACGACACCCAGCCCTAGTATTCCACCTTAATTAATTACTACACGACACCCGACCCTAGTATTCCACCTTTTCTAATTACTGCACGACACCCAGCCCTAGTATTCCACCTTAATTAATTAATGCCACCACACCCAGCCCTAGTATTCCACCTTAATTAATTAATGCCACCTTGTAAAGCTGTTTTAAGTTCATTTAACAGAGAAGACAAATTGCATTGCTTTTTTCTTTTTTTAATATAACTGAACCAATTTTATTAGGTGATATCACAATTCAAATTTACCCAAATTCTTACCGTACTTCTAGCTAGAAGTAACTCTCTATAAGTATAACCTTGAGTAAAACAAATTTTCAAATTACAAACAGGATATTAGGGATCAAGGAAATATTCAGGAATTTTTCCAGGGTGGTGGAGATAAAACTGTTTTCTTTCCAGGGAGGGGGGTGGTTCAGCACCCCTTGGGACCTGAAACCCCCCTAGAAATCATAGATTTTATGCTAATTCAGGAGGGGTGGGACCGTAGGGCTGGGCAAAATGGAGAATTTTTTTCATCAATTGGAAACGGCTAGAAAAAGTTGAAACGTGTCCAGCCCTAGGTGGGGGCTGTGCTCCAATATCCCCCCCCCCTGTAAATTTCAATGGTAGGGATATAATAATTTATGTATGTTATTCCTATCACGTTGTTCATAATTTTTAACTTCTTACATGTTAGATGTAAAAATAGATATAAAAGTTTCCATTGATGTATTAGTATTCTTATTTAGTCTGCAGTAGTGCAGTAACATCATACATCATAGGGATGGACATTGTTTTGGAGTTTTTTTTTAAACATTCAAGGGGGTTTACCTTTTACTCTAAAATGGCTAACCACCAAACGCCATCCCCCCTCCTCTCTATTTTGCTTAAGCACATTTTAAACACTATCATCAATTTATTGACTTGAAAGAAATAGTAATTTAATGATTTATTTTTTCTTCTTCTTTTTAATGTACAGGATACAGGACGGATAAAAATTAGGTCGGTATTTTTTAAAAATCTGAAATAGCCCATCACTTTTTACAAAACCACTCCAGAAATACAAACTCCAGAAATACAAACTCCAGAAATACAAACTCCAGAAATACAAACTCCAGAAATACAAACTCCAGAAATGCAAACTCCAGAAATACAAACTCCAGAAATAACAACTCCAGAAATACAAACTCCAGAAATACAAACTCCAGTAATAAAAATTCCAGAAATACAAAATTAAAAGTAAACTTATAGGACATATAATTTTAAAATTTGCTAACCAATAAAATTCTTGTAAAACCTATTAAAAGTAAAAAACTGGATAGTTTAAAATTGAAGCCCATCTTTTATACTTATACAAGTGAGAAGGATAATAAAATAAACCTAACCAAATTATGTATATTTACATATACCAATTTATATCTCTAGTACCTCCTATCCCTGTAGTAAATGTTAAGTTTCAATACGTATTCACAATATTATTCTGGTCTATATATCATTGCATTAAGCTAAACACAATACGTAGATAAGGATTAATGCAGTTAGATCCTCAGACAATGTACAACGTAGTTTATATAGGTCTGTTCAAACTACATCCTCTCTATCCCTGGTCCCTCTATCCCTATTCCCTCCTATTCCTGGTCCCTCTATCCTTGGTCCCTCTATCCCTGGTCCTCTCTATCCCTGGTCCTCTCTATTCCTGGTCCCTCTATCCCTGGTCCCTCTATCCCTGGTCCCTCTGTCCCTGGTCCCTCTATCCCTGGTCCCTCTGTCCCTGGTCCCTCTATCCCTGGTCCCTCTATCCTTGGTCCCTTTATCCCTGGTCCCTCCATCCCTGTTCCCTCCATCCCTGTTCCCTCTTATCCCTGGTCCTCTCTATCCCTGGTCCTCCTATCCCTGGTCCCTCTATCCCTGGTCCCTCCTATCCCTGGTCCTCTCTATCCCTGGTCCTCTCTATCCCTGGTCCCTCCATCCCTGTTCCCTCTTATCCCTGGTCCTCTCTATCCCTGGGCCCTCCTATCTCTGGTCCCTCTATCCCTGGTCCTCTCTATCCCTGGTTACTCTATACCTGGTCCCTCCTATTCCTGGTCCCTCTTTATCAGGTCTTCTCTATCACTAGGTCCTCTCTATCCCTGGTCCTCTCTATCCCTGGTCCTCTCTATACCTGGTCCCTCTTATCCCTGGTCCCTTTAAGGGGGGGGGGNGGGGGGGGGGGGGGGGTATAAAGTGAGTTGTATTCAAATTCAAATTTACTAATCATATATCTAAATACTTTGATCGGTTCAAAGATTAAAAAATCCACGAAAATTGCGAGGAAACTGCTAAAACTACACCAATAAACTAAAATTTACTATTATTAATTATGCGACTTTTGATATTTCAAAATATGAATTCTGTAGTAACGTTGGAAATACCAAAGGCTTATACCTGAGCTTGCAAAGGTGTGATTTGAAAATTATAGTTTCTTTGAATTTAAAACACATTTAATAAAATCTTTCTTCCTTCCTTTTTACCAAGAACTTTTCCAACTAACGACTTTTCGTTTTTTTCTTTGAAAATTAAATCATATTTTGAAAAATGATAATTTTAAAAAATTACTGTTCAGAATATAAAAGGCAATACCCTTATTAATCGTTTTTTATTTATTAATTTTAATTAAGTGTCAGTGCAAAAAAAAATCTTGGGTAAAGATCGAATTAGATTCACAGTGCTCCAAACTTAATGAGATTTTAACAAATTACTTTTCTTAAACCATAGCTAGAAAGAAGTTTAGGAGCTTAGGGCTATAAAAGCTTCAGTTCGTTAATGAGATGAAATCAAAGGCCTAGATGTTGCAGCACTTTAAAGAAGACCCATTCTGAAACCAAACCAAACGTTTATTCTATTTTCCTTGAAAATATCTTTGTGTAAGCTGGATTTAAGACCGAATATATTTGGATTTATTCATAATATTCTTATTCTTGTTCTCAACATCCAATATTCAAGTACTAGGCTTTTTGGGCGCTTCGCACCCATCTTTTATTTCAACTTTTAATTGTGGCTTTATCTGTGAGCATCTTCTCTTTGTACAGTATAAAACCAAAAACAATCAAAAAAGTTTGCGGATTTCATAATATTATTTCGCATATTTTCAAACTTTTACCAAAGTAAAAAACCTTTAAACGCAAATTTTTAAAATTTGATCATTCATAAACCTTCCCTTGAGGTCCCACATAAAATTTGGGCCTGATCGGTTCAGCCGTTTTGACGTTTATTGGATACAAACAAACAGTCACCCACCCAAACAGACAAGCTAAATTTATATACAGATTAAATTTGGCAATTATCAGATCTTTTAAAACCTATTTCCAAAGTACACCCTAATTTAGTGGAAAATCGTGCATTTATCAAGATACTTTCAACTATCAAGGGTTTTCATTAAAATCAAATTCAAGCGCAAAAATACCTATTGCGGGTTTTTTCAACAGTTTGCAACAAATTTGCGCAAAATTTTGGAAAAAATTGAAAAGCCCTTCAATGCTTTACTAGACAAAAAAGAGAATGTCAAATCTATTCAATATTACTAATGGAAGCCCTACTTTATTTGTATGCAAAAAAGAAAAACTGAAAATATGCAATTTCAATTCAAAGAGTCTGTGCAAAAAGTGTAAAATTTCTTAGCAAAAACTGTGCAATCTGCTTCCTTTGTTAAAGGCTTTCCAAAGAGCTATAAAATGTTTAAATCCAATGGCTGGAAGTGGGTCTAAATATAGATTTAGTCATGAGGACTAGGGCAGTAGGTGTTTAAGCCCAGCTTTTAGCCTAACCTGAGGGGCTTATGTTAGTTAGAAAAGCCATAGTAGGAATATGGTTTCTTTACATTTTCACGACAAACTCTTATTTTTCCCTTAACACTTAATTGTTGAAATAAATTACAATAAAATTAAGTTTCTAAAATTCTTTTTATTTGGAAAAAAAATTGTTTGCATAAAAATACTCAATGTGGAAACATTAAACTGATTCTTTAGAAAAAAGTTTCCAAAAGAAACGAGAAACTTGCATTTTCTTTGTCTATTAACTTTTTTACTAAGTCAACATTTTATAAACACAATAGGTGATAAGCCTGACAACTGTTTAACAAACTAAAACACGGGAAAATAAAGTATACAAGATCTAAATATAACCGGGGTTATTTTAGCATTTATTCTTTTTTTATAATTTTTATTTTTTTTACTCAATCAATAAGGAGACACATTCGTTATCTGATTCATTTGTTGTTTAATTCATTTGTTATCTAATCTATTTGTTATATTTTACATTTGTTATCTAACATATTTGTTATCTAATCTATTTGTTATCTAATCTATTTGTTATCTATTTCATTTGTTATCAAATCTATTTGTTATCTTATTCATTTTTTATCTACTCTATTTTTTATCTAATCTATTTGTAATCTAATTCATTTTTTATCTAATCTATTTGTTATCTAATTCATTTTTTATCTAATATATTTGTTATCTAATATATTTGTTATCTAATCTATTTGTTATCTAATCTATTTGTGTTCTAATCTATTTGTTATCTAATCTATTTGTTATCTAATCTATTTGTTATGTAATCTATTTGTTATCTAATTCATTTGTTATCTAATGTATTTGTTATCTAATCTATTTGTTATCTAAACTATTTGTTATCTAAACTATTTGTTATCTTGTTGTAGGGCTAAGATCTATGTTCTTGTTATTCTTCTCCTATCCATCTCCTACAACCTTCCGAGGTAGGATTAAATTGATATTCACAACAATCTAGCGAGGGAGGGAATGCAAAGCCACCATGCACCCCACTTCATAGTTTCCAAACCGTAGGATTTGCAGATTGACCTCTGAACCCTGTAAAATAAACCCCGCTTCTCACAAAACAACCTTCAATCCCCGCTTTCTAACTCTGCCTGTTAATCTATATTTTTATTTGACGGTTATTAATAATCTGTCAATTTTCAAAGTTTTAAATCTTGTAATTTTGTTCAATTCCGAAGTTCAATCGGGTCCAATGATACCAATATCAATAAGCTTATCAAAGTTGTCATTTCCGCTCTTTTTAATATTTTTTCTCATTTTTGTTTAAACCCCCATAGAGCTGCCTGCCATTTTCTATTTTTAAGAAAAACACATTTCAGAAAAATTCCTTCTGTCAAATGTATTCAACTTGAAATATTTTAAAAACGAAAATAAAAAAATTTAAATGTATAAATGTAACTTCAGGATTTGAAAGTGCAACGATTTACAATGATTTACAATGATTTGTAAAACAAAAAAAATTGAGTCTTTGCCACAAACTCTGATTTTCTTTTCCCCATATCTTTGCAACCTTATGGGGTAGACTTTAGATTTTTTCAGCTATGAATTCTGCTAGATCAAATAATCTTAATTTAAAATATTAAAGGTTTACACCATCATGCTGCAAAGATGTAGGGATTAGAAAATTTGAGTTAGTAAAAATGATCAATTTCTTTATGAAATATTTTTATTATGTTTCAGGTGCTGGGAGGTGACCTGGGGTGTTTTCTATAACGCCGAACAGGAAAAATCAAAAAAAAAATGACCCTCTCTCTCCCTTCCATAGCTGAAGCCTGCATGTTTAAAAAAACGTTCTGGGTCCACTACATACCTTGTACAGTAGACCTACATGTACAAGTGAAGGCATTTATATTTATGGAAAATTACTTTTTTTCTTTTACGGTTTTTGGACTTTTTTAAGGTTCTACAATAAGTTTTATGTCAAATAACCATCATGTAATGGGATTCACCGACATTGGGACAAACGACCTATCGCTCAGCCTTCAAACTGTCTTAACCTAATCTAATCCTGAAATAATACATATTTTATGTTATTTTTAATTTTTATTTGAACTGCTAGCTGCAGCGCTCGTCCCCTAGTCTGTCCTAACCGCAGCGCTCAGCCCAGAAATTGGCTTAACCAACCATAACCCTGAAAATATACATAAAATATTTATTTCTTCATTTTGACCCTAAGTCGTTTTACCCATTGTCGCGTTTTTGACCGTTTGTCGTTTGACCCTGGGTCGTTTGACACTATGTCAGTGAACCCTAAAATTGGTGTACTATTGATATCTTAAAATTTTAAACTATCCCTTTGTTGAATTTTGATTTGAACTTAGGACCGGAATATAACAGAAGTACTGCCTACTGACCTGCGTAGTAATCAGTATTATATAGAGGTAACAATACAGACCTGCGTAGTAATCAGTATTATATAGAGGTAACAATACAGACCTGCGTAGTAATCAGTATTATATAGAGGTAACAATACAGACCTGCATAGTAATCAGTATTATATAGAGGTAACAATACAGACCTGCATAGTAATCAGTATCATATAGAGGTAACAATACAGACCTGCGTAGTAATCAGTATCATATAGAGGTAACAATACAGACCTGCGTAGCAATCAGTATTATATAGAGGTAACAATTTCATAAACACAGCGTTTGGCCCCATTTTAGCCTAGGCCACGCCTCAGAAAGTCAAATATTAAGGAAAAAATGTAAAAACTTTTTCTTAAAACTTTTCCAAAGTTTGCATTTACAGTAGTTAGTATTGGCAGAAGTTTGACTTTTCAGAAAATTCTTGTTATATATAAATATTACACTTGAAACCCTGATTAAAATGTGGAAGATATTGTCGATTTTCTAGAGCTCGGTTAACTTGAAATTAGACTTAATGCTCTTTAATTATAATTTTAAATATATTTAAATAATTTAAAATTAAACCTTATCGTTAATGATTTAAAGTTTAATGTTTTTTTTTATTTTTGAAAGGCACAGAAGACGTTATTTCAAGTGATCTTGCATTTGTCGTTTTAATCAATTTTTAGTTGGCTAATTGAGGATATCTCATTCATTTTTAATCAGGCAAAGGTTTAAAGGGGACTGTTGTGAATTAAACATGACACTCTCAAAATGGAGAGTCCCTAGAATTATCTGTTAAATCAATCTTTCAAGGTTTTAGCCGTTTGGAGCCGGTTTTGGCGGATTTAAGTCACGGCTCAAATTCATTAAATTTGGACACCGTTTACCCAGCAAACAAAAACTCCAGGTTTTCTCGGCAAATTTTGCCACGAGAAGTCGAGTTTTTGTCGATTTTTTATGATGAGTTATTCTCAATCTATGTCATTTAACAATATTTTTAATTGTAAGTAATCTATGTACTCACTAGAGATGGGCATAGTTTTTGTGAACAAACGAAAATTTATGACGGTACAAAATTTAGAACAAAAACGAACCATGAACAAACAACTTGGATCATGTAGAAAAATGAAAAAATTTCGTTTTTAAAACTAAACAAGAAAAATATAACAAACATTCAAAATTGTGCAAACAAACTTGAAAAAACAAATTTTCCAAAAGATTTTTAAAAGCAACCATTTTCACTTTACGATCAATTTTTGGAACAAAATTTAAAAACTATAGTTTTTACTGAATGTTCAGTATTTTTCAACAAACTTTTGAAAAAGTGATCATTTTATTTTATTTTATTTAATGAACCTACTGAAGTGATAAAACGATCAAAATAGATGAAAAATGAACGATAATTTTGAGAACAAACAAAATACTTACGGCAAAACCTTTCTTAATCAAATCAAGAAAAATTCTGCCTCCTAGACCTGCTGTACAAAGTTTACTGGACAAATATTCCAGATAAAACTTTTTTAAAAATGTCACCCAAGCTTTGTGTACTATCTAAGGGGTAGATTTATTTAAAAGTCAATTAAGCAAGGTTTCGCCATCAATTTTAAAAAGTTGTTTATCAGACTTTAGGGCTTCAGGAAAGGTTGGGTAAAGTTCCAAATTGATCCTGAAAAAAATTGAAACCCTATTTATATATCAACTGTTTCTAAACACAAACTGTTCATGTTAATAATATCTTTTTGTTTACAAATTAAGTATTCGAACTAATTATCTTTACTAAAACAAACAGATTTAATACAAAAATGAATATTTTCATGGATAAAAATTCTTAAAGATATTTTACAGGCTAAATAAGAAAAAATGAAAATGATCACTCACTAAAAACAAAATTATTCTTTTAATTCTAAATAATGTCATATGCAAGATTAAAGATAATATTAACATATTTAAAATCGATGAATGAACATCTATATATACCATATTCTTTTATATTAAATATTGGATTTTAAAATATTAAAATATTTTAGGTTCGGAAGGCAAATTGTATCCGGGCAACTCTTTCAAGGTAATGTCCCAAAAATTTCAGGTTTATGGAAAAAATGAGTTCTGAAATTCTGAAATTTCCGAACATTTTCCAAATTGGAAATGGAAAATAATTCGTTTGAAAGTACAAACCGGTGTACAGTAATGGATAAATAATCATAAAAATAATTTAATGTAATGGTATGATACCCCAATACCAAATATTCAGTTCACAAACACACTAAAATATTGCACACTTACCAGTAAGGAACCGTAGCTGAAACAGATTTATATATAAGAGGTCTACAGGATAACAGATAAATTGTTTTAGAGTTAGGGTTACCAAGCAAAGCAAACCAATTCTAAATATTAGTTATTTCCTAGTCCAACTTTACACAAGAGCTTAAACTTTCAATAAGGATTAAAGATTTTATTGGCATTTATTATACACTTTCTTCCACAGAAACTTATATTATATTACGCGTAGCTAGAAATCCTAAAAATTCTCTACAAAAACTTGCCGCCAAAACATTTTAAAACAAAATTTTTCAGAAATCATTAAATACAAGATATTTTTATAACAATTCTTTAACAGTTTTATCTCTTTTTCCTATTTGCATAATTAAATAATTCAGAGGTTATTGAACATTCTTTTGGAAATTTACGTAGCTCGTTAAAGAGGGTTGTATTTCTAAATCTTAAGTTTTCAATTGTTTTTGTCAAAGTTAAGATGCTTCTATATAAAATAAAACTTTAGATTATGTTTTTATTTGAATCCAAGGCTGGGATCGAAAGGAAAAGAAACGGAACGAATTAAAAAAAGATACCAGATCAAGGGCTGGGCCTCGTTTTTAGGGAAATATAGTTCATTCACGGGAACAAACAGAACGGAACAGAACGGAACAGAGCGGAACGGAACAGAACGGAACAGAACGGAACAGAAAGGAACAGAAAGGAACAGAACGGAACAGAACGGAACAGAACGGAACAGAACGGAACAGAACGGAACAGAACGGAACAGAACGGAACAGAACGGAACATAACGGAACAGAACGGAACAGAACAGAACGGAACGGAACGGAACAGAACGGAACAGAATTGAGCAGAACGGAACAGAACGAAACAGAACGGAACAGAACGAAACAAATGAGTTTAAAAGTAGTTTTAGTTACATCACATAAATCCAGGCTGCCATGAAAATTTGCACCACGCTTCAAGGGTCAACTGTAAAAAGTCTCAACGCTTTGGCTTTTCCGTAGCCCTAGGACCTAGACATATGCATACAGCACTTTTTATATCTATAAAAGAAAGAAAATTATTGGCAAAATTTTCATTTATTTTTGCGTGAGACCTAAATCACTGTGGCATAAGTTGTCAGTAAACTGCAACTCAAATTATAATCTTTTATATTTTCAATTAAATTTCTTCTCTTAATGAAGAGGTGTGTAGAAGAACAAAAATATTTTGAATTTATAATTTAAGTCTTTGCTACACACTCTGATTTTCTAATCCATATATCTATGCTATCCAATAGCGTAGACTTCAAATATCCCAAGTTTAAAATATCAAAGTTTTACACCATCTGGTTGCAAAGATAAAATGATTATAAAATTTGAGTTAGTTTGCTGTTCTCATACTTGTTCATAAAATCAAAACTAGATGAGCTACGATGTCACAAAGTCGTAGTAGTAATATCGCATAAATATGACCTTCGCCTTCTGTGAGCACCTAAATTCATTTATAAATAGTTAGCTAAGGATGTAAAGTTTGCAGCATATTTGAAAAGTCCGTGAAAATGTTTTTATAGAAACATAAAAGTGCATTGCACCTCCATACCTCTAGAGTAGGGCAACGTTTTTATCGTTTTTTTATATTTTGTCTTTCAGAAATCTCCACAAATATCTTAGAAAATCACGTCAAACTAAATTAATCTGCACGCAAGATTGAAATCTTTTAAAATTTCTACACTTATTGAAGAGTTTTAAAGGGAGTGACCGGTTATGTAAGGTAGTTGAACTGAGTATGCAGTGTTGTGGAAAACTTCTTTCGGATTCATTTGAGACATATTAAACTTTTTAAAGATCTGTAAATCCTGTGCTTGAGCGCAAATTCGACGTTCAAAACTCCTTTTTTGGAGATGGATACGTTTTCAAAATCGGTTTTTTTTTAATTAGTAAATAACGACGACGAAAATTAAAGTAAAAATTATACAGTAATCTAATTAGATGGTTGGGAACATATTTCTCAAAAGAAATTTGTCAATAAATCAATGCTGGAATCAATTATTTCGTTTTTATTATTATATTGAATTTCTTATCTTCTTTGAATTTATTCGCAGATTTCTTTAAATTC